GTACAGTACAGGTTAAAACAACAAAAATCCAAGTAGTCCATGGCCTCTCGGAGGAATAACAAGAACAAAACAGTGAGTCACCATATACATATATAGATTTAGTTCTGCACCACATAGATGTTAAAGACACAATGAATCATCAAGTCCATTTTGTGATTTTAAGACTCAAAACTCCACAAACTCAAGTCTGTTCAGGGACAACAATATTAGGGAACCACAATACGCCTTGCTCAAATATGTGGAAACGCAACATCATTACCCACAATGCCGTACCGCTCGTCTACAGGATATGTGCATTTCCGGTCATATTTTAACAAAGGCGACACCACAACACAAGTTAAAGGCCCCATATTATGCTGGTTTCTGAGCTATTTTATAATGTTGTTTTCTAATTTTTTTCATTCACACAAGTTCAAACTCAAAACTATTCCCCCTTATGATGTCATTTGGTGATACAGGAAGAGCGCCACTGTGTTTTTAAACTCTATACACCTTCACTAGAATCATTTGGATAATTTCAGCTCTGGAATAGATGCATCACGAATTTCGGACTACCGATTGCGCAATGCATACTGGGAAGGATTTTCCGAAAAAGTGAGCATCAAATCGCCACGTCTGTTTTCCCAGTGGGTTGTGTCTATTGACAAAGTCGATCTTTTCAAGTCTTTTGAACCATATCGCTTTTGTTTCTGGTTCTGATATTGTCATATTTTAGTTTTGGGATTTGGACATCGTAATTGTGTGGGCTCGAGAAATGGGCTTCAGAAGTTTGTGAACTCCATAACTGCAAAAGGGAATCAGATCTGTGTGTGACTGCAAACCTCTGTTCAAACTGTTTCCCTTCCCAACGGAATTGAAAAATAGTGAAAGGTGAAGGCGATGGACAGTGCTGATCCACAGGAAGGACGAAAAACGAAACCTTTGACTGCCTAAATCATCCCGAGTTTGCAGCGAACATTTTGTATGTGGAGCGACAACAAAGCAGGATCCCGCTTTGATGACGCGAGAGGTGTAGAAGACAAACAGGCTGAGCTCGCACTTTCATGTTGTTGTGACTTTACAGTAACATTAAGTCTTGGTCGCTTTGCAGTGGAAGGTGTTTCTTGGTGAACAGCTGGTGCCTTTCGCTTTGACTTTTTAAATTCGTAACCAAGGTTGAGCGAGGGATCAGGGTTTTGCTTTGATGGCGCTCCACATACAAAATGTTCGCTGGAAGCTCGGGATGATTTCTTAGGCAGCCAAAGGTTTCCTTTTTCGTCCTTCCTGTGTACCAATACTTCCCATCGCCTTCACCTTTCACTATTTTTCAATTCCGTTGTGAAGGGAAACAGTTTGAACAGAGGTTTGCAGTCACACACAGATCTGATTCCCTTTTGCATTTATGGAGTTCGCAAACAAATTTCTGGAGCCGTTTTCCGCTCTTAGGATCCAACAACCACACAATTACGATGTCCGAATCCCAAAACTAAAATATGACAATATCAGAACCAGAAACAAAAGTGATATGGTTCAAACAACTTGAAAAGATGAGCTTTATCAATACATACATCCCACTGAGAAAACAAACATGGCAATTTGATGCTTACTTTTATGGAAATCCTTCCCAGTATGCATTGCGCAGTGACCGGAAGTCCGAAATTCATGATGCATGTATTGCCAATCTACTGAACAAAAAGTTTAAATGTCGCTGTTAACTTGAAAACTACCACTTCATGACATCATAAAGTAGAACAGAGCATTTTAAGTCTTGGAGATGACAAAACACTTCTTAAACATGTGTGAATGAAACAAAACACAACCACATGTACATTTCTGAGGTGGTAACAACGTTCGAACATGGCTCAAAGCTCACAAGAGTCAGTTTAGCGAAATATAAGACCTTTAACCTCTAAACAAAAGACGGTGTTACTCTGCTCTAATCACGTTGGACCATTGCCCGTTAGTACAACACACTGGGAGTTATGCAACTGAGCGGGTATTAGAAAGTTATGAGCTGCTTTTGGGAGCAAAGGGCAGAGTTAGAGTTAAGAGTTAGAGTGTGTAGCCAAGAGGAAATAAGAACTAGATGCAAAGTTTAGAACAAGGACAAACACTCATTAACCCTGGAATTGTAAGAGAAACTGTAATGGTTCTTGCAATGTTGGTGCTTCGATATTCTTATATTTCTTAAAAGTTCATTGTGTAACTTTTCTGGTGGAGGGTCTGTAAAATGGTTTTCTTCGTGGAGATGTTATTGCTTTGTCTGGAATGTTTCACAGTATGGCATTAAACCTTTCTATCTTCATGGAAACCAAACTAGACCAAGTTTCAAGTGAGATCTGTTCAGTCAGAATGCGTTTTTTCTACTTTATTTTTGAGCTATAAACTCAAAAAACTTAAGGTAGAGCTGTTTAATGTCATACTGTGGAACATTCCAGGCAGAGCAGCGACGTATCCATAGAAACGAGCAGGTGACAGACACTCGATCAAAAAGTTACACAGTGCACCTTTGAAACAGTTCGATTTATTCTCCTCAAAGGGTGCGTTTTATGAGAAATTTTGCTATTGAAAATGATTTAGGAAAGTTTAATATATTTTGGTATTTGTCATTCTGGCACAGCAAGTTGAATTTGAATTGTAAAGGCCTTTATTTACCGCTGTGTCAAAATCAAAACAAAGCTAAAGCCTAAAAGAAAAGAAAAGGGAAAAGGAGATGACACCCTGCTGTGTAAATATAAAAATATATACAATACCAGTTAAAGTCTGGACACGCTCTCATTCAGTGATTTTTTTTCTTTATTTTTACTAGTTTCTGCATTTTGAAGACTTCAAATATACGAACCAAGATAAATGGAATTATGCAGTAAAGGAGAAAGTTTTCTACTCTATAAATGTATTATATTCAAGTCCTCAAAGTAGCCTCCCTTTGCTTTGTCAAAAAATATTTTGTAGAGTTATTTCATCTTTTTTCTTTGCTACATAATTCCATATATCTTGCATTATATATTTGATGAAGAAGTGGACTTGATTTACGGATAAAAAAGCAGAATAAAAATATATAGAATGAGCACCCACAAATCTGTCAGGTATAGGCTGTATAAAGAAATCTTATCTTCTAAACTTTTTGAAGAAGTGGTGCACGCTTTTATTTCATCACACCTGGACGACGGTAACGCACTTTATTCTGGCATCTCACAAAAAGCACTTTTAACGACGACAGTGAGTCCAAAAAACTCACAACTTCTAACAGGAACCAAAAGAAGAGAGCACATTTCCCCAAATCTTGCGTCTTTGCACTGGCTTCCTGTTAATTTTAGAACAGATTTTAAGATTTTATTGTTTGTTTTTAAAGCTTTATAGAGGATTTTTTAAGGGAAGTGAAATAGCGCGTTCACAATTACTGTTGAAGTGACCTGTCTAGAAGTAATTTAGCAACCGACGCGTCAGTTTTTAGTCCCTTTGTCTCTCTGGAAGGAATCTCCAAGAATCACCTCAGTTTGTCTTCGCTCCTTTTCCCCTTCACTTCTTCTTTCAGCGACCTCAAAAACGGACGTTCTTTTGCGGCGAACTGGTCGTGGATTCTCGTCCGCCGTCGCAACAAACTTTGTGCAAATTGCAAGGAAGCTACAGTTTGAAAAATCCTCTAAGAACCGCTGCATAAACCACGTAATCCTCACACGCCAGCAAGTCAGTTACACTAGAAACGTAGGGAGTTTGATTGACAACCTAACAGTCAATAGAAAATGAGGCAGCCTCGTTTTCTATTGGCTGATATTTATCTGGCCTCACTACGTCCACAGTTGATGGGTTTTCATTCATTTTTTTTTGGTCATCATAATTACAAGGCTGCTGCGTCTCTGTAATGGTATTTTAAACTTTCAATGACAATTTGAAACTGAAAAAAAATCCTCCGTACAACCTTTAAGCCCACGTTACATCTCGGACCTCCTCCAAATTTACATTCCAGTGCGTGGTTTGACGTCCGAGGGCCAGCTCCAGCCTAAAATGTGGTGCCAAAAAAGTATATTACGAGGTTGCTAGGGAATCAACAGGAAGTCACTCATATTGGAGCGATCGTGCGACCTGACACCGAAGGCGCAATTTCCTGTCCTCGTACTTTAATGAACTCGACCTAGGGGTTTTTTGACCCAGCCTCACCAGAATCATTCTGTATCGTCTGGTCAAGTGGCTCACCATCGAACTTTTAAACTCAGAATTATGACGTTTAAACTCGTAATTATGACTTTCTGTGAGGTTTTTATTTTTTTATTTACTGGCGGAAATGGGCTTCCATAGAATAGGAATTTAATAGACAAAATCGTGAAATAAAAACTCCAGGATCAGGTTGAGCGGGTTAATACGAACATTTTAAGATCAATATGAGGAGCCTGACAGTAGCAGTTACTGAGAGGGACGACGTTTTTTCAATAGAAAGTGAATTGGAGACGGAGTCGATGGAGCCAGAAGCGCACCCATGCTCACTTCTATGATTTGATGTCTTCCTATGTATCTAAAACGTAAAAAGTTGTAAAAATAAAGACAAATAAACACTAAATGAGAGTGCGTGCCCAAACTTTTGACTGGTCGTGTATGTAAACGCGTTCTTTCTGACATATCAACTGTCACTTTTTTAAGATCTTCCCTCAGATCATCTCCTGATTTTTACTACGCCGCCGTTTGCGTTGCGTCTCTGTTGTCAAGTGAAAGTTCCTCATTCATTTGCTCATTTATCATTTACAAGTTTACAGAGATCAAAGCGCACGTTAAGAGGAGAGCGGAGATGTCTTGATCTTTGCGTCGCTGTACGTTTACGGTGTTTGAACTAGAAAACCTGCGAGTCGGAAGTGAATGGAAATGAGCAGAGGAAAGAGAAGGGGGAGCAAAGTAAACCAGCCAGTCTATGTGTGTACAGTAGATATGAAGGGGTCCAAAGCTCGAGTTGTAAAACGGGGGGGATGGGACAGATTGGGTTAGCAGTGAGCAGTTGGGTTAGTTTAAAGCGACAGGTTGGAAATACATACCGCCCAGATGCAAGTCCAGGATTTCACTGTAATTAGAATCTCCCCAATAGTCTACAATGACAGGCATATATTAGACATTATTGAACACAGCGCCAAACTGGGAAAACACACATTCACATACACACATACACACACACACAGTCCATAGCAGCACATGCATGTTTCAATTTTCAACACTGCGGCAAACTCAAAGGAGCCCCTCAGTACTCACCATAACGGGCGTAAATGGGCGTAATGCAGAGAGCGACGGCAATTTGACATTTTACGTCACATTTTCAAATACAATCATAAGAAGGCGTCATAGATTTGCTGTATTGCTGTTCAGTTTGTCCTTTACATTTCCATATACCGCCTCTAAGAATTTGATTTTGCATTTTTGTTAAAGCTGCACTGCGTAACTTTTGCGTTGGAGGTCCGTCACCTGCTTATTTCGATGGATATGCCATTGCTCTGTTCCACAGTGTGACATTAAACAGCTCCACTTTACATTTATTCAATTACAGGTGGTTTTATAGCTCAAAAATACCTAGAAAAACGATGCATTGTGACTGTGAGCGGGGTCGCCTCTCCACAGATCTGACCCGTTACCTGGTCCTGTCTGGTTTGTTCTCCGTGAAGATAGAAAGGTTTAATGCCATACTGTGAAACATTCCAGACAAAGCATGAACGTCTCCACAGAGAAAAGTATTCGAGTATTAGAAAAATGACAAAACGCACCTCTCAGTGAATTGAAAAATGTAGTTTTGTTTACAACATAATCCCATAAAGTGTGAAGAATCCCTCAGTTCATCCAGGTAGAATCCATGGCGAGGAGAAAATTCAGTTTGTCGACTGATCAAAAGTTAGTTCAGAACTGAAGAAACGGCTTGGATGAGCTGCGAAACATCTTCAACCCAACTAACTTTTGTCCAGTCGACAAACTGAATTTTCTCCTCGCCGTAATCCCATAAACTTTACTTTATATAATAGATTTCTTCTGTATGTATATGAAATGCAGAAAGATGTAAAATAAACTTGTGACTTTCTTTCTTGTAATATTTTCTACACTTTATACATACAGAAGACATCTAATATATGAATAAAGATATATGGAATTATGTAACACAGAAGAAAGCAGGAGCCAAATAACGTTGTGTTCTCAAATATAATAATAAGTCTGCATAGATTTGTTGTATTGCTGTTCAGTTTGTCCTTGGGTTTGTGTGCAGACATAACAATGAATTAACATGAGCAAAGTTTTTTCAATACAAAGAGAATTGGAGTTGATGGAGTTGTTATTGCTTTGTCTGGAATATTTCACAGTATGGTATTAAACCTTTTTATCTTCATGGAAACCAAACCAGACCAGGTAACAGGTAAGATCTGTGGAGAGGTGACCCCACTTATAGTCACAATGCATCATTTTTCTAGGTATTTTTGAGCTATAAAACCACCTGTAATTCAATAAATGTACAGTAAGGTACTTTAATGTCACACTGTGGAACATTTCAGACAGAGTAATGACATCTCCATAGAAACAAGCAGGTAACTCTTGTATGGTTGTCTGGTTCATATAGAAAACTAGCTATCAGCAGATCCTTAAAGCTGCATTGTGTAACGTTTCTTGAGATAATTTTCACCATGGAGATGTTTTTGCTTTGTCCAGAATGCTTCACAGTATGGCATTAAACCTTTCTATCATTACAGAGTCAGTCCACATGAAATCAGCCGCTCTCCCCTTTGAGCCACCTCAGATTTGGCTGAAAAAAATTCAAAAAAAAAAAACAAATGAAAGTTCCTGAGTTATGGCCTGTTGAAATTTTGGGGGCATGCTCACTTTTTCGGAAGCCTTAATTTATTAGCATGTTTGAGAGACCATAACTTCATTAAAACATAAAGCTAGGAAACTGAAAATTGTGTTATTGTATACTCTTGGTCATAGATACTAAATCTGTTTTCAAATTTTGGGTATATTTATTAAGGGGGGTGCTGTGGGCGCCCAAATCTCAAATTTGGCTGTAAATATCTGCTTGGAGTAAACAGATCTTGGACCTTGGATTTGACAACAGATTTAGAATCTATGACCAAGAATCTACAATAATACAAGTTTTTTGCTTCCTAGCTCTGTTTTTTATGAAGTTATGGTCTCTCAAACATGTTTATAAATTGAGGCTTCCGAAAAAGTGAGCATGGCCCCAAAATTTCAACGGACTATAACTCAGAAATCACTCAAGGAATTGAGCTAAAATTTTAGATTCTTTCATTTGGTCCTTTTAGAAATGTTTTGAATTTTTTTTCCAGCCAAATCTGAGATGGCTCTTAGGGGAAATTCCTTGAAAATGGCAGATTTCATATGGACTGACCCTATAAAGCCCAAACCAGACCAAGTTACAGGTCAGATCTGTGGAGAGGCGACCCCGCTCACAGTCAGAATGATGCTTTTCTTGGTATTTTTGAGCGATAAAACCACCTGTAATTGAATAAATGTGAGGTAGTTTAATGTCATATCGTGGATCAATCCAGGCAGAGCAATGAGATCCATAGAAACAAACAGAAAAAGTTACATAGTGCATCTTTACCTCACCGCTGGGCATAATGCAGAGAGCGGGGCCCATTGTATATCACATTCTCAAATATAATAATAAGAAGCCGACATAGATTTGCAATGTTGCCGTTCGGTTTCCTTTCCCTATACTTCCTCCGGGGCGATGGTTTTGTGTGCGGACATATCTATGAATTAGCATTTTTATTAAGTGAATTGAATTTAACAGAATGACAAGAGGCCATTTTTCATGATGTGCTACAGTATTGCGAGGATTATTGGGACTAAAGGCTGAGCGGCGGTAAACGAGGCGTCTATTTATTCACACAGTGGAACACCCGGACCCCCGATCTCATTTCCTGCGCCACAATCATAATAAAGATTGTATGTCTTAGTCAACAAGATCCTCACAAAAGTTTATCAAATCACTCAACCGCGGTAGAATGTGACGCTATAAAAGAAGCTGCTCCCCTGCACGCCCGTTCAAATGAGATTGGATTTATTGCCGTTGTATTAAAAGTGCATTGCGTAACTTTTCTGGGGGGAGGGTCCGTTAAATGCTTTTCTCCGTGGAGATGTTATTGCTTTTGTCTGGAATGCTTCACAGAATGGTATTAAACCTTTCTAGCTTTCTATTTTCACGGAAAATCAAACCAGGTGAAGTTACAGGTCAGATCTGCGGAGAGGCGACGCCGCTCTCAGTCAGAACGCCTGTTTTTTTGGTATTTTTGAGCTATAAAACCACCTGTAATTGCATAAATGTGAGATAGAGCTGTTTAATGTCACACTGTGGAACATTCCAGACAGAGCAGTGAGATACTCATAGACGGACCCCCGACCGAAAAGTTACGCAGTGCACCTTTAAGTAAGAAATATGACTTGAGTACCAAAAGTGTCCTTATTGAGAGGCAGTGACGAAGACAAGTAACATCCAGAATGAGCACACACAAATCTATGTCAGGTATAGACTGTATAAAGAAGTGGACCAAGGGAGTGTGACGTCACCCACGGCGTTCGGCTCCAGTCAAATGAAGCTCATCGAGGCTGCAGTTAAAGGCAAGAATTTGGAGCAGAGTTTCATATTAGGAATAGGAATTGGTTTAAGGTCAATATAGCAGAATAAAAACGGCAGGATCATGTAGAGTAAGTGAATACGAACATTTTAAGACCAAAATGAAGAGCCTGAAAGCAACAGCTACACAGAGAGGGGCAACGTTAATTAAAGTCAATGGCGAATAGACGGTGCGCTAAAAAGTAAAAAAAAAAAAAAAGGCCCACTATATCTCTTAACTTATACCCAGATGAAAACAAAAACCATATACGCATAATGAAAAATAAAATAATAATAAATGTACAAAAAACTAAAACAAAAACACAAATTAATAATTACATAAATAAATAAAAATAAATAAATATAAATATACAAAAAAAAAAAAAAAAAAAACTAAAATAAAAATACTAATAAATAAATAAATAAAAATGTAAAAATACAAAAATAAAAATGCAAATAAATAAATAAATACAAATAATAGTAATAAATGTAGGAGGGCTTTTCTGTACGGGGTGTCCCAACAAATTTGACATCATTACGCAGGCCAATAATTTTGCCAATTCTTGATGAAATAGCCTAAAATTTTCACAGAATGTATGGAACCTAACAAGATTTTATATTTAAGGTTTTATTTTTGTTCTGTTTTCATGTTGAGCCGTTCATTCCCAAAGAGAAGTCATTTTGTGTCTTGGAATCTTACCCAAGACTGTGCAGCGTGGCTTCAATGCAAAATTTGGAAAAACTTCATCAACTGGCAAAGAAATTTGGGACTTGCTACCAAAAATTTTAAGAGTTTGGCTGATTATACTGGGCTAAAGGATCTAACACCAACATCAACGTCAGAAAAGAAAATTGAGCAAGTTCGTGAAAAACTCTTGCAAAGCCCCAAGAAGTCCGTAAGGAGAACAAGTTTGGAAACCCAGATTCCTCGAAGTCTGAAGATGTGGACTAAGGGAGTGTAACGTTACCCATAGCGTTCGGCCCCAGTCAAATGAAGCTCACCGAGGCCTGCAGTTATTAGGAGTGAATTTAGAGTAGAGTTCCATATTAGGAAGAGGAATTTATTTACAGAAAAACTGATATAAAATGTTCGTATTAACCCGCTCTACATGATCCTGGTGTTTTAAAGACCAAAATGAGGAGCCTGACAGCAGCAGTTACAAAGAAAGATGTGACGTTTTTTTCAATACAAAGTGAATTGGAGCCAGAGGTCGATGGAGCCGGAAGCGCCCCCATGCTCACTTCCTAACTTAGCCCATTTCTATATACAGTCTATGATGTCAGGACACACATTCTCCTCAGTCCCATGCAGATTGCACTGACAATGATGGACATGTGATGAAGACAACAGTCAACAACAGTCAACATATGTCAGACGTGGAGAGATGTCGTAGTGTGTCACCACAAATGGAACCTAAACGCAAAATCGTCACGGCAACAGAAACAAACGTCAGTGAGGCTAATACCTGATCGCCTTTTGTGCTGTTTGGGTAACGTATAAGTACCTTTATACATCCCTTCAAGAGAGTAAAGTAGTGAACAAGTTAAAACATTTGTAGGGAACAGGAAATAACTACTAGAATATGTAAACTGCTCTGTGAAATGTGTTTAAAAGTCCATATTACACTATTTTCTGATCTACAGCATGTTATAACGTTGTTTCCTCTTCTTGGGTAGAAGTGCTACTTGGACGTACAGAGATTGTGCAAAATTGTCCAGTCTCAAATACAAAGTTGAAAAAGCGAAGGGCTGAAATGCACTGGGGTTATTTTAACTTTATCTGCCATGTGGTATTAAAGGCTTCTAATTATTTTGTACTTTTTGAGCGCCTCAGCTTTTTTAACTTTGTGTTTTATACCTGGAGTTGTGTTTTCATTTCTTTCACACGTTTAATACCAAAAAATCCTGCATATTTAAGTTATTTTCTCAGACTGGCCATACCAGCTTGTCACAGCCTGATCTCGTCAGATCTCAGATGCTCAGCAAGACCGGGCCTGGTCAGTACTTGGATGGGAGACCGCTGGGAAAATCAGGTTCCACAAGGGGGCACCAGTCACAAAAACTGTCATTGTGTCCTTAGGCAAGACACTTCACCTACATTGAAAATGAATAATGCTCTGTAAAGCGTCTTTGTGACATATGTCTGTGAAAAGCTCTATAAAAATAAAAAACTTACTTAACAGAAAATGTTCTGTTCCACCGTGTGATGTCATGTGGTGATGCAGTAAGTGCTCCACTGTGTTTTTAAACATCATGCACCTTGGAAAATGGTCAGTTTTTTATATAGCGCTTCTCCACCTTCAAGGCACTCAAAGAGCTTCACATCAAGGAACCGCTCTCACACACACACACACACACACACCAGTGTACACAGACACTGGGGGCAAGATGGGTTAAGTGTCTTTCCAAAGGATACAACAGCGTTTATCTGTCGGAGCTGGAATCGGAACCTTCACTAGAATCATCTGAATAATTTCAGCCCTGGAATTGCCAATCTCTACTGAACAAACAGTAAAACGTCGCTGTTAACTTTAAAACTACCACTACATGACATCACAAGGTGGAACAGAGCATTTTGAGCTTTGGAGATGTAGACAGACTGATAATAAAGAGTTAGTCAAACATGTGTGAATGAAACAAAACGCCAAACACAACTCCAGGTCTGTTTTCGAGGAGTTAACAACATTATAACATGTCTTAAATCTCCCAAGAATCCATTTTGTGTAATATAAGACCTTTAATAATTGCTTTTGGGTTGTTAAAATAGTCAGAGACAAAATTGCTTGCAAAATTGAGCAGTTTTCTTTTACTTAAACGTAGTATTCTCAAGGCACAATTTTCAATATTCAGTACAGCTATATAAATGCCGATTGCCGACGACAATTACAGCAATCTGAAAGCTTTGGGATGGTTTACATGAGACTATGCAGCTTGGGTTATGCAAGTCTAATCATCAAAATTATTTCTCCCTAAAGAGCGCTGAATACTGAACAAGCTTCAAATAAAAGATAAAATGTGGTTTCCAATGGGGATCTGAAACAGTTTTTGGAAATGACTCAAATGAATAGTGTTATGAAATTGTATGTTTTTTCTTTTTCTCCAGAATGGCCATTTTGTGTAATCTTCTGTGGTTAGAATAATGGTCAGATTACATGAAACAAAAGATGTATAGATGTGGTTACCTGCTTCTCCTCTTAAGGCTTTCTCCACAGCTACGCCCCGCTCCTCCAGCTGCCTCTGCTTCTCCTCCACCTGCTCCAACTGTCTCTGGATGATCTGAGGAGACACAAAAACTCAGGTTACATATATGTACTCTCCAAAGTGCGTTAAAGAGCCCATATTATGCTATTTTCTGATCTAGGTCATCAAAACATACCTGGAGTTGGGTTTTGTTTCATTCACACATGTTTAACACACAAAACTTGCGTATTTAGGCTGAGTTCTTCTCTCAAACAGAAAATACTTTGTTCAGTTTTGATGTGGTAAGACATAGGGATGTAGTGGTACATGTATTCGTGCCAAACTGTTTCGGTACGGGATGTTCGGTTCGGTGCAGGGCTGTGCACGAGTGAATTTGCGCAATTTGTGTGTGTTTAGACTCCGTCACTACATGTGCAGCTACACGGAAGGATCGGCTCTTTAATATTTACGAGGGAGCATGTTCGTGATTGGGGTGGCAGTGTTTCCCGCAGCGCTTTATAGTTAGGGTGGCCGCCTTGACTATGATAATTTACACACAAAATTTTCAAATTGAAAATAAATGTCGGCTGCAAATATGTACCTTAGAGCAGTTTTGTGATGTATAAAACATAAAATGAATAAAATAGACTCATGAAATAAGGCATAGAAAAATGTAAATGTATCCAGAATAAACTATATATCCAGCTGTTCTACAATCACTATAGTTAAAAAATAAAATAAATGTACTTTTTTATATACAAAATATCCCAAAATAAACGTAAATGAAGCTTCATAGTTTCAACTCGGTTATATGAGTTTGGAGACACGTTTGACACACAAATCGTGATAAAAATTCAATAAATTGCACAGCCTTAGCTACCTTTCATGTTTAGTTCAATAGAGATAGGAAATTCCATAGCTGAAATTAGCTGAAATTGTGTTAATTAAAAAAGTATGAATGAACCAAAACACAACTCCAGGTCTGTTTTTGATTAATATTCATGAGGGAACTTGTCCGTGATTGGGGTGACAGTGTTTTTCACAGCGCTTTATAGTTAGGGTGGCCACCTTGAGAACAATTGCCCCCCATCTTGACAATCATTGTTAGTGCTGCGCTTTACTTTTTGAAAAGTTTTCTTTACTGTTTACAAGGAATTTATTTATTATAATATTTCATACATTTGTTGCTTATTTGAGAATATTATATTTAACTTATTAGTATTACAAAGCAGCACTTTGCATTTATTTTATTTTCCCGTTTGTATAATGTTATTGTTGGTTTAATAAACACAAATAAACAACAAGCAAATGGTTTTGTACCGAAAATGAACCGAACTATGACTTCAAAACTGAGGTGCGTACTGAAACCATCACACCCCTAGTAATACAGGAAGTGCTCCACTGCATTTTTTAACTCCATACACCTTCACTAGAATCATTTGGATGATTTCCGCCCTGGAATTGCCAATCTTTACTGAACTAAACGTAAAAAAAAAATCAGTTAACATGAAAACTAACACCATATGGCATCTGAAGGTGGAGCAGAGCATTCTGAGCTTAGAAGATGTAGACATAATAATAAAAAGTTACTCAAACATGTGTGAATGAAACAAAACACAACTCCAGGTGTGTTTTTGATGAGGTAACAACATTATAACACGGTGTTAAAGCTCACAAGAGTCCATTTTGTGTAACGTAGGGACCTTTAAAGTACAGTGTAAGCGTTCTCAGTCATTACCAACGATTCTCCGAGACGTTTTAAGAGGCCATCTGGACAACAGCTTCATTGATGAAACAATTTGGCCTAATTAAAGAATAAATATTGGGCTGGACACGAGGGGTGCAAGTAATTAAAAAGCAACTGGATATGGGCCAAGTGTGACCTGTATCAAATTCACTTAGTAACTTTTACCAATAAAACGAGTGTGAAAATAAAAGCACACTTAAATGACTTTATAATGGCAGTGCAGCAGGCCTATGGTAATCTTCATAATGGTGATGAGATGCGTGTAGTTTAGTGAGTCTGAACTTAATTGAGAAAATGAGAGGGTTTTTCAGATTTGCATAATTAAAAAGACACAATCTCACTACTGATCTACCACGAAATGGATTTGGTTTGTATGGATTAAACTTATTTTTATAGCTTTTTTTTTTTCCAACTAAAGCTGTTTCTATTAATACAAAATACCTTGACAAACATGTATTTTTATTTTGAGTGGGATCGCTTCTCCACAGATTAGACCTGTAACTTGGCCTGGTATGTTTAATGCCACAGTCTGGAACATTCCAACTGAAGGAATAAGATCTTCAGGGAGACATTTGGCAAGTGGACCCTCTGCCGGAAAAGTTGAAAGGTCTTTTATTACACAAAATTTACTCTTGTGAACGTTTAGCTGTGTTATAATGTTGTTACCTCCTCAAAAATAAACCTGGAGTTGTGTTTTGTTTCATTCACGTTTGAGTAACTCTTTATTATTAGTCTGTCGACATCTCCAAACCTCAAAACGCTCTGTTGCACCTTGTGATGTCATGAAGCTATAGTTTCCAAGTTAACAGCGACATTTTGGGCTGCTTGATTATGGAAAAAAATCATAATCATGATTATTTTGATCAATATTGAAATCATGATTATTCAAACAATAATTTTTTAGTTACACAATGAATTTATTCAGCATTTGTCTCTCTCTCTCAAAAAAACACTTTGTTATTGGTAATTTACACAAAACTTTCAAATTGAAAATAAATATAGGCTACAAATATGTACCTTAGAGTAGTTTTACGATGTATAAAACATAAAATGAATAAAATATACTCTGAACTTAAAAAAAGGAATAGAAAAACATAAATGTGTCCAATCTCTATATTTAAAAAACATAATTAAATATAATTATTTATACAAAAAATATCCCAAAATAAACTTTGTTAAGATTCATTTCAACTTGATTATATGAGTTTGGAGATCGTCGTTTGACAAACAAATAGAAATCGCGATCAAAATTCAATTCATTGCACATCCTCAGCTACCTTTCACGTTTAGTTCAATAGAGTTTGGAAATTCCAGAGCTGAAATTATCCCAGGGTAACCCCAGGTTTGACTACCCCAGATTTAAGACTTTTTAAGACCACTTAAATGAAAATTAAGACCAACATCACACCCATTATGCACCCGAAAAACACCAGATCCAATTCTAATAATGACCAACCAACTTCTAAATCTAGAATCTAAGAGCCACTGTGGATTAAACCTTCACTTCCCCATGATCCATCCAACGTCTTCCTCCACTCTACTGATGGTTTACTCATTGCCACCGGTGCCAGAAACGAAAGTATTGTTTGGGCATTTTCCAAATTAGATGTCTAGGCTAATGAAATTTAAGGCCTTTGTGAAGAAAAATAAGATTTGGACAACATACTTTAAGACTTTTTAAGGCCTTAATTTAGGAACATGATGTTTAAGATCTTTTTAAGACTTTTAAGACCCCGCGGCGACCCCGAGTTCAAATGATTCTAGTGAAGTTGTACCAAGTTTAAAAACACATTGGAGCTCTTCCTGTACACAAACCCATGACATCACAAGGTGGAACAGTGTGTTTTCTGTTTGAGAGAAGAACTCAGACCTAAATATGCAGCATTTGTTTGTTAATTAAACAAGTGTGAATGAAACAAAACACAACTCCAGGTCTGTTTGTGACGAGGAAACAACATTATAACATCGATCAGAAAACAGTGAAATAGTTTAAGAATAAATCCATAATAAAATAGTACAATCTGGGTCCATATTTAAAATATTAAAACCACTAACGTAAAAAGAGACTAGATAAATTGCCACTTCTGTTCGCTGCTATTTAATAAAAGTCCATTGGAGTATAATATATGATTTAAAATGAATTAAACTGGCAGATCTGCACATAAAACACTGTCTATAGAGGCCATATAGTGACTTTGCGCACTAGGGTTGTATTTCGTCTCCTGCTTCTTAAATCCTTGTTTAGGGCCCGAGCCTGTATCAGTGATGAGCAGCAGGGGCCAAACTACAACTTGTGTTTGGACTCTTAAAATAGCGTCTAAAAAAAGAAGGAAAACTCCGGCCGGTGAACCACAAACTCGGGGAAGGCGGGAGGAGGCAGGAGGGGGTGCTGAGTCAGTGGAGCCAGAGCCAACTGCAAAGGTACAACATCAATCACAGTGGATTTCAGACTACGGAGAATTTGGCCAAGAGTATAAGTCGCACTAAAGCAGCCGTGAACAGAGATAAACTGTTTACTTAGATTTTAGTTTATCTTCCCATTTACTCATTTCAATCAATCCAGCAACGAGACTGTGTGTAAGTTCTTAAAGCTCCTATATTACGCAAAATGGGCTCCTGCTGTGAGTTTTTAGCCATGCTACAACTTTACTACCTCATCAAAAACACAACCAGATTTGTATTTTGATCTCCAAACCTTGTGTTGTTATATAGTGTCAGTTTTCAAATTAATGACTACCTTTTACTTTTTGTTTAGTAGACTAGAGATTGGCAATTCCAGGGCTGAAATGATCCAAATGATTATGAAGAAGAAATGTGTTAAACATGTGTGAAAGAAACTACCGTATTTTCGGACTATAAGTCGCACTTTTGTCATGGTTTGGGTGTTTCCTGCGAAACACTCCAGTGCGACTTATACCGTATTTTCTGCACTATGGGGCACGCCCTCCAACCCTATCAAAAAACGACCGCACACCCTGCAATCCAGAGCGCCCTATACACGAATCCACTCAGGTGTCCCTGCACGACTTCAGTAAACTACAAAGCTGCACCACCCACAGCGCACGCAAACACGCACGGAGCAGATGTCGCGATAATCACTCCACACGGACAAGAAATGGAACGGAGGAACGAACCGAAAAAGCAAGCGCCATGTGCCACTTCTAGACACAACTGAACAACTGAGTCACTGCAAACGCGCCGACAATTCAGTGGTCCCAGACAGCACCCTCCCTACACGCCACAACTGAACAAAGCCCAGAGTCACTGTGAACGTGACAAACAAAGTCCCACTGACCCATCCAACTGTTGTGTTTCGTTTAAAGTCCGGTGCGGTTTATTTGTTAAAAAAGTTTGAAAATAGATCGTGGGCTAAAAGCTAGATTAGGTAGAGTTGGCGGAGTTGCTCAGAAGTGACACCAAGGATAAAGAATTCACTGGATTTAGTGATTTGGAGTGAGATGGAGAGTTTGGTAAACTTGTTCTGTTGTTTATGTTATAGTGAAGAACTGAAGAACTGTTCATATGTGACATGAACAGTTTGTTGTTCTCTGTTCTATTGTTTTTACTAGAGATGTAACAATAACCGAAATACTGTGATATCGTATCGTCAAAGTTCTGACAATAATATCGTGGCCCAACACAATATATCAAATTACAAGTTTCTTTGCTTAAATTGAGAGTTATGTTTCAGCAATAGCTTAAAAAAAAGACAGACGGAACTACAAAGACCATGATCCTTTGCTCCATTTCAGTACAGACTACAAGAAGAAATAACAGTTTTAAGTCTTAGTTCTTTGGATTAAGTCTTGTCAAGGCATTTTAAGAGGAAAAAGTAACATATTCACAGTTTTGTAAATAAATACATATCGTACAAAGAGATTTGGATTTTGTTACATCCCTAATCATGAGTCTCCACACTGTATCGTGAGCTTTCCCACAATATCGCAATAAATATCGTACCTTGAGACTTGGATATCGTTACACCCCTAGTTCTTGGATTTTATAAAAATTAATTTCTCCCCAAAAATGCAACTTGTATATGTATTTTCTCTTCTTCATTATGCATTTTTGGCCGGTGCGACTTATACTCTTGAGCGATTTATAGTCCGGAATAACATTATAACAAAGATTAGAAAATAATGTAATATGGGTCCTTTAAAGTTGTACTATGGAACTTGTCTTGGTCTACCAGCTGCTTGTCTCCATGAAGCTGTTATTTACCAAAATGTTCCACAGTATGGCAATCAAATATCACCATGGAGATGAGACCAGCCTGCTCACAGATAAATGGGTTTATACTGTGGAATATTCTAGGCTAAAACAATAACATCTCCACGGAAACAAGCAGGTGCAGACCCATGGAAGTGTAATAAGATTTTGAAGATGAACCAAAGGCGGCGGCGGCGTGTGGTTTGACTTGTGTTCATTGGTGCACGATGCCAAAGCGCCCCACGTGTGCGACAACGGTGACCGCATGAGCAAGTCCGACCAATCCGAGCGGCGCCGGTGGAGAGGAGCCAGCGCGAGCACAGAGGGGCTCAGAGCGGAACTGAGCCAAATCTTACAATACAAACTTTTAGGCTATGATTCACTGTTTTTATCTTTCCTCTGTTTTTATTATTTGTATTATTTGTTTATTGCTCTATTCACTGTAATAATATGTGTTCGGTAAAGTGTCTTGTATTATTATTGTTTAATTTATGTTGTAAAATACAGAAGAATCCTACAAAATCCGACCTTTGTGAAAGCTGTGGATGAACACGGGTTGAATTCCTCAAAAATGCATCGTGCTCTGTGGTCAGGTTAGGGCACGGGTCTCCAACCTTTTTTCTCCAGTGAGCCAACTTTACGAAACAAAATGCCAGAGAGCTACAAATTTCTGCAGTCACGGAGAAACTGAGTAAATATAAGAGCCACGGCGAGCCTTAGATGGGGAACAGTTAGATGCTTATAAAACATAAACCACTATCAATTTATCAGTGCACCAAGTTAGACATCAAAATAATACATTTACAACGGCAATTAATCAAATTTACTTATTACCCACAATACATAAAATTCAGAAATCCATTGGCGAGCTACTTGGAACGGGGTGGAGAGCTACTGATGGCTCCCTAACTACAGGTTGGAGACCCCTGGTTTAAACCAGACGTCCTGAAAAATTCAGGAAAGTCCCAAAATCTAAGCTGTTGTCCCTAACCTAAATGTGCTCGAAAATTATACTCAAACAGAATACTGATTACCGTATTTTTCTGGCTGTAAGTTGCAAATTTTTTCATGGTTTGGATGGTTCTGGAACTTATACTCCAGTGCGAGTTTTGGAGTGAGCGAGAAACTTGTAAGGGACTGGCAGCAAGCGGGAATGAAGAACACAGCTTCATGGCAACCGGTTGGGTACTTTCCACAAAGTCACTGCATGGATGGGCAAAGCCTGGACTTCAGTGACACTGAAGCCATCCTGTCGGGATTCAGAAAGGCCGGAATAATTCTAACTGGAACTGATGCTGAGTCTGACAACAGCGACACAGAAGAGGAAGCGGCGCTCTGTTTACCTCTGGAGGTCACGGAGTTGCTCAAAAGTGACACCGAGGATGAAGAATTGAATGGATTTAGTGATTTGGAGTGAGATGGAGAGTTTGGTAAACTTGTTCTGTTCTGTTGTTTATGTTATAGTTATTTGAAGAACTGTTCATATGTGACATTAACAGTCTGTTGTTCTCTGTTCTATTGTTATTACTAGAACTTGACTTTCAAGATGAAATGTCGGTTCCTGGTCTCCTGGTATAAAATAAATTTCCCCCCAAAAATGCAACTTATATATGTTTTTTTCTTCTTCATTACACATTTTTTGGCTGGTGTGATTTATACTCCAGAGCCACTTATAGTCTGAAAAATATGGTAGTTATTTTCAGATAAACATTAAAAACTGTTCGTAGGTTGAGTCGACTGAATGCAGCTGCTGACGGTTTCTAAGTAGCTGCAGCAACCGGACAGTGAATGTACAGGCAACACAACAACCAGCAGGGACTAATTGGTCGCGGGCCGGGCATGTTTGCATTGTTATTTTTCCACGATGACATTTTGAGTTCATGATTTTTATGTTGTTTTCTTGTGGCAGAAATGTTAATGAAAGCCTTGAATAAAAATATATTTGTGACAGGTTTGTAGATTCATCTTTTATTATTGTCTATGTATCATCAGCGAGTTCCTCCTTCAAAAAAACATCCCAGATTTCAGTGCTTTTTGGGAGAATAGGAGGGTTTCAGTCACGTGATCACGATGACCCAACGAATTTCAGGTGGAGGGCAGGAAGTGAAGACAAACACGACAAACACGGCTCTGGAGAACACAGATATGGAGAAGAGTTCTTTTTGTAAGGGTTTAGAACCAGTAGCAAGGCAAAAGCACGAGCAGTTAGTCGACAAATATATTGGACGTGACCCCATCTTATTGAAAATGAGAGAATTTTCGACCGAAGTAAAAGATTTGCCGACAATCGAGGCAGAGGATAACACGTACTACCTTGTTCTCCAGACATCGTTCTACACCAGACAACAGATGAAGGCGTACAAAAGTTTGGAGGCTTGTAACTTTTTTGTCAGTGGATGGGTCCACAACCTTGGTCCAAAACGCCTACGTGATGATTGTCGTTTGGTCTTCGCCAGGGTGAGTGTTTCTCTTATTTGTGTATAGACTGTTATGGAAAAACTGCAGTGTATCAGCAGTAACCGATCTATCCCAACTATTTAATGTCAACAAAGGTCGTTAGCCGTTAGTCTTTAATGATTTGTTCATGTTTAGGTAAACCACAAAAAACAATTTAGCTTTGAAACATACCTTTGACGAAGTGGTCACTGCAGACACGAGCATTTGCGGATTCTGCTCCCGAGCACATATGTAGGTTTGTAATCCACTTTTTACGGTGTTGTTCTGTCAGCTTTTCCCATTTCTGACCTTTGCGTACGACTATCTTCGGCACTCTAAAAAAATCGCTTTTACTTCTCTCGGTTAGAATGATTAGCACAGCCGTAAACTACACAACACATCGGCATTTTCCAGACAAAGATGCAACAGTGTTTCACTAGCTTCCTCCAGTCAGTTCACTTCCTGCCCTCCATCTGATTTCGCGCGCTGACAAACGTAGCCCTGTGACGTCACGTGAAACCCAGCTATTCCGCCCCGGGAGCTGCAGTACCTGGCGCGGCCACTCGTCGATCTCCTCAGGCCAGATGCAGAAAGTCTTACCCAGTTCTTATTATAGATCAATGCGCAGACCCCCCACCAGAAATGTTACACAGTGGTGCTTTAAACCACATCTCAAGCGTTCTACGGGGACAGATCAATAAAGGTGCAGTGACTCAGGTTTCGCAGTTGGAGTCTTACTTGAGCTCGGTGCAGCCTCTTCAGCTCCTCCTGTTTCGCTTGGCGTCGTGCAGCTTTTTGGACTCTTCGGGTGATTTTGGCATTCAGCTCCTCCTCCGTGTAGGTTTTCTGGTGGAGCAACAAAAACACAGCTCTGTAAGGTTTTATTTAAGTGTTTCTCGCTCTCGGATTTGGTTCCTTGAGGCACTACAACAGCTAATGGAGAGAAAGAGGTTGGAACCTAATTACAGCCAATCACATTTACTGAGTTTTTTTATTCCGCTTGGATTACAAATGGACTAAAATGGAAATCGGTTTGTAAAATGAATTCAAATAAATGCAAATTATTATAGAATATATCCATTAAGCAGAATATAGCTTACACATCTGTATCACATTGTACAGGTTTTTCACACAATAACATTTTTTCATAATTAGAAATAAAATTGCAGAGTGTAGACAGAATGTGATGTCCTCGCTTTTATTTGTGAGGACGCTAGGGCTGCAACTAGCAATTACTTTAGTAGTTAAATTGCATTTTTAAACAAAATAAAAGTAGAAGAATTAAAGCTTCTAAATTGAGGACAATTATGAACTGGACAATTAGAAATTAACTAACTCATTTTCATTATCAAAATATGTTTATTTTAAAGGGCCTATATTACGCATTTTTGAGCTTTTATCCAGGTTATAATGTTGTTACATCCTCAAAAACATACCTGTTTTTATGGAAGATAATTTATTCCATCAGATATACTGCTGAATTACTCACTTTGACTTTCTTTTTAATCTGAAAAAAGATGATTATTTTTATTCTGAATTTTAGTTGCTGAAATGTTAAGTTTACTTTTTCAATATGTTTCAAATTCTAAATAAAAATTTCACCGCATATATTTTCCAGCCCTCAAATTTAACAGTCAAAATTCAGAATGTAACCCTGCGTTCAATTATCCTTCCAAATCAGTTTTCCGTAGAAGTTGCCTAGCGACACGCGTGACACGCCCCTTTTCCTGGGACGGCGCGACTCGGACCTCGGTAGAGGAAAAAGTTGAATGAGCAAGGATTCCGAGTCTGTGACGTGTAAATATGAAGTGTTTTCATTGTGTTTGGACACTTTGGAGGTTAAAATGACATCACTCATATTACTGCAGTACATTACAGCGTCTGAATCACTGCCTGTGGGTTTGGGAGTCGGTGTTTTTGTTGAGGCCAATATTGAACAAATACTTGATTTAACGAGCGTTAACGTCCCTAAGGTTGTAACAGAAGAGAAATCATAACATAAAATGAAGAGCAAATTTCAAAAAATAAAGTGGCAGCATTTTCATAAAATAAGAGATAATAATACACTTCAAGCTCGGACCCGACGTCAAATACGAGGTCCAAGTGGGAGTCGGAAGATAATCAAACGCAGGGTAAATTTCGCAGTGAAAAATGAACAACAAAGATCTAAGATGCCAAGGCAGAAGCAATCGATCCTGTGAGCGAGGAGGACAGAGGCTGTTTCCTATTGGCCATTTTCCTCTGTGGTTTACACTTAAGAAATAAAATAGAGGAGGTTTTGATGAGGCTAATTCTGACTAAACCTACTAAATTAGATTAGATCACTTTGGATCAATTGCTTCGGTTTTGGCACCTTGGATTTTTCCAGTGAATTTTTTTAGTGCATATTTTACACTCTGAATTTTGACTGTGGAATTTGACGGCTTGAAAATATTTCTGCTGAATATTTACAAGGTGACATTTTTATTTTGAATCTTAAACACTTAAAAAATGTACACTTAAAATCTCAGCAACTAAAATTCTGAATAAAAACAATTCAAACATCTTTTTTCAGAGTAAAAAAATTCAAAGTGAGAAATTCAACAGCATTTAAAAGTCAAAATCTAATGAAACAAATTATCTTGCATAGTTTTGTTTCTTTCACACATCTTTGAGTAACCCTGGCGTTTTCCGTTTGAGAGAAAAACTCAGTCTAAATAAGCAGGATTTGTGTGTTAAACAAATGAAACAAAACACAAATCCAGGTCCATTTGTGACGAGGAAACAACATTATAACATAGATCAGAAAATAGCGTAACATGAGCCCTTTAAAAGCAGATATAGTTATGATTGTTCCATTAATCGTTGCAGCCCTAGAAGACAAAAAAGCTGAGAGATGAGTACTGCAGAAATATCAGACGTGTCCAGGAGCCAGACTGGAGCAACACCAGAGCTGCTGTGACAGAAGGAGGCAGGTTAATGTGAAACAGTCCCTCGTTTGAAATGTACAGAAACCGCTGTTACAAAAGCTGAATACTTAAGGCTCATTTATGCTCCACTTTTATACGTAAACAGATCTGCGCGTTTCCAAGTGTAGTCGCCGTTACTGTATTTTTATACTAATGTCAATGTCAGTGGTCTCTTACACAACCACCAGAGGGCGCACAAAGTCACAGAGATCTCCACTGTTTCCCCGACCCTCAGCGCATCCAGTTCAAGCTCCTAAATTGTGTACAAGTTAGGGATGGGCATAATTAGTCGATTAATCGATAATTGATCATTAAGACTTTCATCGATTACGTTCATTTTAATCGACAAACCAAATGTAGGTTGCTGTGCGTAGCCTGATCAAACAGAGGTCCGTACATGTGTCTCTCTGCACTAAGAAGGAGCAAGACACAAACATTTGGTCAGTCTGCAGCGTACCGAAGCACAAATGTGTATTTAACGATGATTTGTATAAGAAATTCCACGCTTTCCGTTGCGTTCGGGACAAGTGTGAGTCCATGTGCACAGTGTATAAAGCAGCACATATGTTTCGTTGTCCAGTGGTAAAAGCTTTGCCAGGTGAGAGTCGCGCAATGTCGATGACGAGGCCCCACCTACTCCCCCCGTACGGTGTCCTGGTTTTGACAAACGCAAATCTGGTCACACTAACCTGTATTCCACTTAGTCGTGTCTTTTAATCCGACAGAAATTGACCGCATCAGCGACACAAAGCTGCAGTTTTATCTTCGCTTAGTTTATGCAAATTAGTGATGCGGTTTTAAGTTTTGTTTCTGTGAGAGTTGCGCAAAACTGAATTAAACACATTATAATGTCAAACGGGCTGATGTGGCTCTAGAGTCGTTACGGTTTATTTGTCGTAAAGTTGAATTTATTTATGCAGATTAGTAGTGCAGATAGTAATAATAATGATGATGATAATTTTAAAATAAAAACGTTAATGATTAATCGATAATCAATCGTTAATTCTTCCGACAATCGATTAAGAAAATTTCATCGAATGCCCATCCCTAGTACAAGTCCCTCCTTAACCTGGGCCCCACCTACATCTCTGAGCTCCTCCACCACCACAACCCCACCCCTGCCCTCTGATCAGCTGACGCCAACCTCCAACCTCCTGTCTCCCCCTTCCAGGACTAAACACGAGACCTGGGGGGGACTAAGACCCTTTGATAGTCCTTGCCCAAACATATCAGAGACTCATCTACACTCAAAATCTTCAAAAAAGTCCTGAAAACTCACCTGTTCAAAACTGCCTTTAAATAACTGCATCTCCTGTTTCATCCGTTTTTGGTTTTTTTCCATTTGGGTTTGTTTCTGTCCGGATCTATGTGAAGCGTCTCTGAGTGTCATGAAATGAGCTATACAAGTGTAATGTTTTGTTATTATTATCATTTTTATTAAAGTCAGTTAGAGAATTGGCCAAAACGGATGAAATAGACAAATTGGCCTCAAATTTGGCCCACGATATAATTATATCGTTATATCGTTAATTAGATCATATCCAATCTGTGTTAGAGCTGCCCGCCGGCTACAGACAGACTATAGAGACATTACTTATTAAAATTTTTGCTATTATTTTATATTCTGCTTGTTCTGGATTCAGTGTTTAAGCAAAACTATTATTAAACATTTATTTTAATAAGAAAAGGATTAACATTACATATCTCGAGAGAAGATATGCAGATGATAAAATGTTTCAATAAATATTTAGTTTGGCCCACGACCTAGTCACAGTTTTTAATTTTGGTCTTTTGTGAATCTGACTTTGACACTCCTGAAATAGAGCAACAAAAAATGACAAACACGGCGGCCCCACAGCAGAAGTAAACAGCAAGGCCAAAAATTCAAGTTAATGCATCTGATATAAAAATGTATTGAACAGATACATATGTACTCTAGTTTATGAAACTGTTGACCTTTTTTCTGTACCATTTTTGGTTCTAAAGTTACATATGTTTTTAAACAGACCATGTATGAAACATGGAACAAAAATTATTTCCCAAATTTCAAAGACCTGCAAGTCATGTAAATAAATGGATGTATTTCATCATATCTTGTGTTATTCCATCTTTGAACTGTTGATGAAGGGACAAGTATTTAAAATGATAAAAATTAGCTTGTAAGGACTGACATATTTTATAGAAATAGTTTCCGTTCATTTTGAAGTAATATTCAAGTATTCGGAAGAAAAACACTGACAAATTATGCAAAATCATGCACCTTCTACTTGTTTGCACAATTTTCCCTCCGTTACTTTTCCCTCCGTTACCATGACCTTTCTTAATAAAAAATCTCATTACTCCAAAAGTAAGAGGTTTTTCAACCTAATCTTGTACCATATGGTAGAAAACTATATGAAGCAAATATTCAAACCAGTTTGTTAAGGATATGTAAGTGAGAACCAAGAGTTATCACTGTTTATTTATTGCCCAAAAAGTGCTGCATATTTCATTCCCTCCGTTACCGACATGAGTTTTTAAATTTTTTGTCAACAAATTGAAAGAATATCACAGGTTTAACTTGACCCTGTTGGAGTGTAACTCTTTCCTACATTCTGATACTTTACTTATTTCAATAGTCCCTCTAGTTTCTGAATAAGAGCTATTTGAATGTTAAAAATCTGCCCCTGTTTCCCTCCGTTACCACTTGACCAGACCCAGCAGTTTTTTACTACTGTCCTCAGAAGTTAGAACATGCTCCGTTCTGTTGCTAAGATTTCCCATGTCCTGAAGAACTGGACCAGATTACAGATCATAGATTTACACATATAATAGTATATATAAATAGACCTAGATAACGCAGTCGGGTTCCAAATAAGAAGTGAGCGTGGGGGCGCTTCCGGCTCCATCAACTCTAATTCACTTTACACTGAAAAATTGGCACCCTGCTTTCTATAGCTGCTGCAGCGAGCTCTTTGGTTGCTTTCTATGGAATTCATCTGATTTGAGTGAAGCCAAACACTTTGAGCGACGACACACTTCTTCATACAGTCGATGTTACGGACAGAACAGCACAGAGGACGGACACAAGCCTCCACTCGTATCTGTACTCGTATAAAACACAAGAGCATAAATGAGCCTTTGGACAGAACCGACATCCAGCTGCGAGAGGATACCGTGGATACTGTGAACACATGCATCCACAGAGCATCTTTAGTTAGTACGAGACCGGACGCATGAAAGGGAGTTATAACAGGTCAACATGCGCGTGTGTGTGTGAAGTCTGTTTGAGTAAGAATGGTTTGGATACTACCTTGGAGGCATATGATCTCTTGAACGCCAGTGCATGAGGGACATATAAAGACTTTGGGAAGACAAAACAAAAAAAGGGAGGAAAATGATAACACAAAACAGGATTAAAAGTGTTAATGATTGTGTAAAAAAAAAAAGACAAAAATCACAAATAAATTAATAGTTAAAGGTCCAATATTACGCAAAGTTGACTCTTGTGAGCTTTAAATCACGTTAGAGTGTTGTTACCAAATCAAAAATAAACCTGGCGTTGGTTTCATTCACACTTTTATTATTAGACTGTCTACGTCTTTAAAGCTCAAAATGCACTGTTCCACCTTGTGATGTCATGACAGGGTTCCCACTCTTTTTCACTGACAAAATTTCAAAACTTTTTCATGACCTAAAGTGAATTTTCCATGACTTTACGGCACCTACATGTGTAGAATTGGTCATACTTTTAGAGCCAAACATGAAATGTTCAACAGAGGTGGGATCAAGTCGTTGTTTTGCAAGTCTCAAGTAAGTCTCAAGTCCCAGAGCTCAAGTCCCAAGTCCAATACAGGCAAGTCCAAGTCGAGTCACTAGTCCATAAGCCCAAGTCAAGCCAGCTTTGAGTTATTTCAAGTCTTTAGATTTTTGCAATTTATTTGACTTTTAAGCTAAATTGTACTTTAAAATGTCATGGTATATTTACATATGAGTATTTATATATACAAGAGTTAAAGAAATGCAATTTTTTTTCAATTTGTGTGAATCATTATGGTCAACAGAAAGAAATCAGATTTAAAAGTGTTTAATAACAGTTATTTTGCTGTGTAGTCTGCACGGAAATGGAAGGATCATGTTCTATGTAGTTTACTGTACTGCACTGTATATTACTGTAGTACATTTGAGGATACCATCTCAAAGTATTTCAGTTACATCCAAGTCAGCACCGCATTTATCAACTGTAAAGAGAAAGGTATTTTCTAAAAACATATATTTTTCAGGAGAAGGATTGAGTCATCTCAAGTCACTGACCTTCAAGTCGAGTCCCAAGTCTTAGTCAATTTTATCAAGTCAAGTCTCAAGTCCTAAAAATAGTGACTCAAGTCTGACTCAAATCCAAATCACAAATTGCAAGTCCCCACCTCTGATGTTCAACTCACATTATGGTATTATAGTTTTTGAACATTCAAAATACTGTCAGTGCATTTATTGTCGTCTCTTTTAAACAAAAGGCGCAAACGTTTAGAAATAATCATAACAGTCTAATGAGAACTTAACAGAACGCTGTAGTTGAGTGAAAGAGATACTAAAATTCCATGACTTTTCCAAAACTTTCATTGAATTTACAAATTTCCATGATTTTTCCAGGCCTAGAAAATGACATTTTCAATTTCCACGACTTTCCATGATTTCCATGGCCGTGGGAACCCTGTCATGAAGCAGTAGTTTTCATGTTAACAGCTCCTTTTACCTTTTGTTCTAAGCTTAAAATCATCCAAATGACTCTAGTGAAAGTTGTATTTTTTCCGTTTGAGAGAAGAAAACAGCCTAAATATGCAAGATCTGTACATGAATGAAACAAAACACAACTCCAGGTCTGTTTTTGACGAGAAAAACAACATTATAACACATCAGAAAACAGCGTAATATGGGCCCTTTAAAACAAATCATACGTACACAAAACCATCACAGTGTTAAACATCACAAACCAAAGGAGAACTATAATCTATGTTAATCAAAAATGAATCAAAACGGGGGATGACGACGCTAATTTACTACCACAAAACAGAACAGAACAGCTCACAAATAAACAAACACACATTTCTAAACACGCGGCACAGCTCTACAAACATGTGAAGTGGCCTCGCAGGCATGACTCTATTGAAGAACCGTAGAAACCTCAAGGAAATTTGAAGTGCTAATATGAAACACTAACAATTATATTCCTTTATCATGGTATGTGCATGGTTTAAGACTGTTTTCTTTTCAGCGCGGTAATTAAATTCATGCCTGTGGCCCTATATTTCACTGTACCTATCTATTCTACCAGAGCACGTTCACACAAAACGCGGCAGAGGCGGAAGTCATTTAGAATTTCAACCAGAACGTAATGAATGTAAATGGATTCAAATAGGAAAACACATCTTACAGAACTCGCTTAAATTTGTATGTGTTTTGCATAAACCTAATAGAATGGACCAGACCAGCATATTCAGCAGCTTCAATCTGTTTCGGTCTGTTTCTTTATTTCAGCGTAAGGCCTTTTTTTGAAGAAGCATTTCTGCAGCAAGAACGCGAGATTTGTGCAGAAATCTCCGGGGATGACTAAAGCTGCTTCATCATTTGAGGTCAGCTTCAAAGCCAATCAGAAACAGTGTGAACATGGCCTGCATAAAACAGGACTTCAGTGGCTCTATTTTCTCCATTATAACGATGTGAAATTCAAAATCACTTAACCCCGCTGCCGAACAATACCTCCTCATCTTTATTCTCCTGCTCTGGACCGAGCACTCTCTCCAGCGCTCTCCTCTCTTTTTCTTTTATTCTCTTTCTTTCCTTCAGTGCCCTTCTTTTTTCCTTTTCTAGTTTCTCCTCTTTTATTGCTTCCTTTTGTATGCCTGATACTAAATCAAAGATGTCCGTATGCTGTTTAGGATGGGGAAAAAACAATAATGAGAAGTCAATGCAGTGGGGAAATTTCTTATAAGAACACACAGCAGCAGAAAATGTTTAGTTTTGACATATTTTATCGACAGTAATCTCCTATCCTAGCATTGTTTTGTTAAAGAAGACCTATTATGCAAAATCGACTTCTTATTGAGCGATTCGTGCAGGTTTGAGCAATCTTTAATCGCTTATTTTCCAAGACGCAATGTTGCTGATAAATACCCTCCAATCTTATTTTCTTCAACTGTAATATGTGTAGGATTCAGCAGCGTTGCATAAAAAGGAAAATGAAAAATCTGCTGCTCGTAGTGTGATGTGCAGCGGTCTGTTGGTGGTTTTTAATTTCTAGAAGTGATATCGTGCAAGTTTTCCCAACTGTTTAGAGGTGTGCAAAAATACAGAAATATCGATAAATCACATCGTTTACTCTGATGATCAGTGTTGATATCGTGAGCTGCTGTGTCGATATATCACCAAGAGTTTTTTAGGGGGGATATTTTACTAAATTTAGAATATTTTGTTACAGTTCTACAGTTCTGTTTCTTGTTAACTGTACAGAAGACCTAAAATTGTGCACCACTCTCTTCCATTTTATAAAGAAATTTAAATGTTTAACTCTGGGTAGATACATGAATTGTGATATTTAGTCTGTGCTGTAGTACTTTAATCTGTGTGTCATTCGTTCATTCGTTTTTTAATATAAAACCAAAAAATAAGAAAACGAAAAAACAACTATTTTCTTCATTATTTGTCTTGAAAACCAAAATGAAAAAGCGGAAAATGATTCATTATCCAGGACTGAGATCAGGACCAGACTGGGACTAAGACCAGGACCTGGTTTAGTAATGGTTAGGGTCTGGTTTAGACCTGGTTTAGTTCTGGAGTAGTCCTGTTTTAGTGCTGGGATCAGTCCTGGTTCAGTCCTGATCTCAGTTCTGGTCTCAGTTCTGATCTCAGTCCTGATCACCCGACAGTCTACGCGGGTGCACCTCCAGGCCCGTCCCGACACTACTGGTTCAGTCCTGGTTCAGTCCCGGTTCAGTCCCGGTTCAATCCTGGTTCAGCCCGGCTTCGCAGTTTAAGTCACAGAAACGAGAAACGCCCATTATCCATTTTTTTTCCATTATTCACTTAAACACAAAACTGAAAACTGAAAAAACTAATCTTTATCAGTTCTTTTCTTATTTTTGGTTTTATATTGAAAAACAAATGAACGAATGATACACAGATTTACTTTGCTGTTCTGTTACTGATTTGTTTGTTTTCTCTCGCTGTATTCATGAATCTGAACTGGTGTCAAGATGACGCTCTCACAAAGGAATAAAGAGTAGGTATAATAAGCTCAAGCTTCAGCCTACACCTTTTTGGTCAGTGTATGTTATAAATGACTGTCTGTTGAATAATGTCATAATATACTTGTGACCGAAATAAATAAATTAATCAATCAATCAATCAGTTGTTTAGAGGAAGGAACTCAACTTATGTGACACATTTGACATATCTGACACTGTTTTGATTATTAAAATGTGTGTTTTATATTAACTTTGCACAAGAAATGGTTTAACAATGACTTTTAGTATCACAAGCCATGACTTAGTTTTTTTTTATCTAATCGTATCAAATCGAAAGTTCACGGTATTGAAATACGTATCATATCGTGGCCTATGTATCGTATCGCCCTAATCGCATTGTACTTAGTCATAAAATATCTTAAAAGTAAACTCCGAAATGTTGAACTTGATCATTTCTATGAGTGTCTGGACCCTAGAACTCGCTGTATAACAACAAAAATCTCCATTTTAATAATATTAATTTCATCTGTATTAAATAATATTAGTCTGTAGAATGATGTGGTGTCTTCCAGCGGTAGGAGCGGCCGACCTTTTGTTGTGATGACATTTATGGTGACATCAGCTCTAATTGGGCACTGCAGTTTTCTAACGAGGGACTCAGCGGACTTGCTTCTTATTTTAACTTATTTTAGATGAATATTGCGGTTTAAAATGTCCAAATTATAACAGAATGATCAACGGGTGTCATAGATTATAATTATACGGCTGACACAAGCACAATAGGTCTTCTTTAAGGCAAAGCTTGCATATAAAAACATAAATTACCTTGAAAAACAACAAAAACAGGATTTGCCTTTTAAAATTACAGGAAGATACTTACATCCGCCTTTGACCTTTGGGATGACCTCTCCAAAACATCATCACAGGACAGATCTGAGTCCTCTGAAAAGCTCAGGTTTCGCCGTGACTTCAAATCTGCAGAGAGGATTAAAATTCACCTTGAAATGTTTTGTTTCAAGGTGAATTATAAACAACAAGAGAAAAAGTAAACAGCACCCACCTCCAAGCACGGGACAGTTATCAAGGCCAAAAGAGCTGTAAGTTGCTCACCATTTAAACATGTTATGGATATGAATATTTATCATTTTAATATTATGAGTAGGTGTTATAGAATTGTAATTTGTTATAAGTGAAAACAACAATGACCTAAAAGAGACCATGAGGATGATGTAATGGTGACTAACTCTGTTGGCGATTCTCATAATTACTGTATTTTTCAGACTATAAGTTGCACTTTTTTTCATGGTTTGGGTGTTTCCTGCGACTTATATATTAAAATGTTCACACTGACAGCAGCGAGAGGCTCTAGTCTTGTGTGTCAGTGTCTGCTGCTCCTGTTACTCCTGTACCACTGTCACTTGGCTCTACTGCGCATGTCTCCTGCAGAAAGAGCCTCTGTCCTGCTGCAAGTAGTGAAATATTCAGCTGAAAACAGTAATCAAGCAGCAGAAAGAAAGTTCGAGTGAGCAAGAAACTTGTGAGGGACTGGCAGAAAGCAGGGATGGAGAACATAACGGCAACACGGAGGATGCACCGTGCAACTTTCCTGGAAGTCATTGGATGGATCGACAAAGGTTGGACTTCAGTGACACCGAAACCATCCTGTCGGGATTTCAGAAAGGCCGGAATAATTCTAACTGGAACTGATGCTGAGTCTGATGCGACACAGAAGAGGAAGTGGTGCTCTGTTTACCTCCAGAGGTCGTGGACTTGCTCAGAAGTGACACCGAGGATGAAGAATTGAATGGATTTAGTGATTTGGAGTGAGATGGAGAGTTTGGTAAACTTGTTCTGTTCTGTTGTTTATGCTACAGTTACCTGCCTGTTGTTCTCTGTTCTATTGTTATTACTGTAACTTGCCTTTCAAGATGAAATGTCGGTTCCTGGTCTCTGATTTTATGAAATAAATTCCCCCTAAAAAGTGCGACTTATAGTCTGGTGTGACTTATATATGTTTTTTTCTTCTTCATTACGCATTTTTTGGCTTATATTCCGAAAAATACGGTATATAAAAGCTCCCACAAACGATTGTTCTGTACCCTTTTTTATCACGATAAGCGATACTACTGTTTATTTTGCCATCCCTACCCACCTGAAGACCTCCCAGGAGATGCCGTCTTCTTCTTCCCTGAATCCTGCGTGGTGGAGCTGGACGATGGAGTACTGGGGCATGATTTATCCTCTTTCTTCTTCTTGTCCTTCTTGTATCCTGAGAAAACCGCCTTCCACAGTGACTTATGTTTAGGAGGTGTCTCATCTGAACCAGAGAGTCTACTGCTTTCGTTTTTAGCCTTTTTCTCCTTTTTATTTTTCCGTGGAGAGAACAGCGAACTCCTCTTTTTGCTTTTGGTTGACGAGGAGCCGTCAGACGAGGCTACGGAGCTGTCCAGACTCTTGTTGCTACTGAAGAAGCGTTCGGGTATAGTCTCTGCCCTTTTGTTTTCCAACGCTTTCACCGCCGATGTTTTGGGAGACACAGGGGACTTTTTACTTTTGCCAGCCACTTCTGGGGTAACATTCCAGGCCACTTTGGGTGACGGCCCCTTGTCGCCATCGGAATCTTTCATTTTGTTCAGTTGTTTGGCCATCGCGTCTTTCAATGCCTGGCTCTTTACAGATTTTTCTCTGGCTCTCATTCTCTCCTCCGCAATCTCCTTGGCCTCAGGAGAAAATTGCGTTGCCCTCTGGGTCTTTGAGACAGGATTGACCGGGATATTGGGTTTACCATTTTCCATCGCTAAGGCCAAGTGCAAAGGAGGCCGGTCTCTGCTGGGTTTGCTCGTTGGAGGAGTGTAATATCGATTCATGCTTGATTCTGGGGTTCTTTCGTCATAGCCTTCCTCCACATCATCCGCAAAAGGAATCTCTTCAACCGTCTCAACAAAAGACTTCCTCACGTTATCCGGAGGACGCGTTTTCTTCTTCTCTCTCATTACAACCACAGGAGCGGGTTCTGGTTCCGCTTGTGGTGAGGTGGCTTTCCTCGGAGCGGGTTTGGGAGCAGAAACCGGGCTGAGCTGAGTCCTCGGCGAAGGAATCGGCGTTTTCGTTTTCGCGGGTTCTTTGGCGGGCTCGGGTTGCGGTTTATCCTTCCCGTTGCTCCATGCGGCTTGGTGCTTTTGCTGCCTGATCACCGCGGGGGACTGGTTCGTCGGCACTGGCGGAGGCGGGCTGGAGGGCGGAGTCAGCATGGTGGAATCGGACGTGCTGTAGCTGGTCGCCATGCTGCCGTTTACGCCCAAGCCAGAGCTGCTGCTAAGATCTTTTCTATCTGCAGCGTTTCCTTTAATTTCGGGGTTGATTGGCGTGATCACTTGACCTTCTAGAGTGATGTTGATTCGCCGGATAACAGCCCGTCCGGTCATGCTTGGCTTCTTCGGCTCCTCCACTATTTCTTTTGTTTTGACAGGTTCTTGGGGCGGGCTCGTGACGACGCTTTTCTCCAAGATTTTACTACTGCGATCCAACGGAGTCAAACCTAGACTCTTTCTAATCTCCGCGCTTTTGAGCCAGAATTCCTCGATGATGTCTGTCTTTTTGGATGGAGTTTCCTCGATGGATGAGTCCGCGGACTTGTCAGACGCTTCCGATTTGGGCGTGGACGCAACGGCGGGCACGGGCTGCGTTCTGACCGGAGAACTGGACGAGAGCGGCGAAGAGGGCTCGTGGCACGGGAGAGGTTGTGCGCAGATCGGAGAAAGGGGGTTCCCGGTGAGAGGACAGATGGAGCGGTGAGGGTAAACCGGAGATCTCGGAGCGTGCGTTTCCGGAAGTGAAATGGGCTGGGAGCAGATTGGGGAAAGGATTGGAGTTTTGACGGGGGATCTGACGGGAGACTCGAGTTTGACAGGAGAGATGGCGGGTGATTTATTAGACGTCGATGTAGGAAATATGGGAGAAACGGGAGACGGAGTGGAGTTGAGGTTAGGGGCATTTGCGGAGGGCGAAGGACAAATGGGGCTCTTTGTGGTCGGAGACGGAGTAGAACTCTTTCTGTCAGTTTTAGTTTCCTCCGGAAGGTAAGGATCTGAGAAAAAGCGAGCGCCCGGCGATTTCAACAAACCAGCAGGAGATATTCGATTTGTCTGCAGCAGAGAAAAATACATTATTTCAACACACTGTCTGAAATGTTCACTTTAATTACATCTCTATGGTTACCTGAGTGTCAAGATCTACAGGTAGTTTGAGCGGAGGAAGGACTATGTCATTTTCCAGAACTTCGTCGATGCTGGATGGTCCTGAAAGATCAAAATCAAAGAAATATTGTGTTGTTTTTAGCAGAAAAATGCATCTGATTTTTATTTTAAAGCTCCTGTATTACACAAAGTTGACTTTTATGAGCTTTAAGTCATGTTAGAATATTGTTACCTCCTCAAAAACATGCCCAGAGTTGTGTTTGTTTCATTTTTTCATTTTGAGTAATCCTGTATTATTAGTCTGTCTACATCAGGGGTGGGCAAACGTTTGACTCAAGGGCCACAAAGGATTCTAAAATGTGACGCAAGGGCCGAACAGGGAGCAGATGGATGGAGTTTATTTGGAAATCCACCTCATAAGAGAAGAAAATAACATGGGATATGTTATTGAAATATCCCAAAATTGAAAATGAAATATAATTGAAAACAAAATATCTGTCTTTCAAGTCCCACAGTACTGAAATGACTTTTAAAACACTGAAAATTATTATTATTATTATTACATTTCAGTGGGCCAGATTAAAAAGATTAAAGGGCTGCACAGTTTGCCCACCCCTGGTCTACATTTTCTACATCCCAAATATGAAAACGCTCCACCTTGTGATGTCATGAAGCGGTAGTTTACCAAAATGACAGATACTTTTTACCCTTCATTTACTACAGACTGCCAGATCTAAGGCTGAAATCATCCAAATTTTTATTTTTATTTATTCAATATTTTAATAAGAAAGTCAGCTGAGAACACCTTCTTATTTACAATGACGACCTGGCCAAGAGGCAGAATAAAATAAAAGCACAAACAGAAAGCACTCACACACCAGCGAATAGAGATGTAAGACAGTGAAACAATTGCAGATAAAAGATATAAAAGTGTTTAAAAAATATGCAATTATTGTGTTAAGTATTGAGTTTTTAAAAGTCAACAGAGGTAAAAACGAACTAACAGCACCCTCTGCGCCGTTCTCTGGTTCGGGGGCCAAACCGAGGCACTTCCTGATTGTGCTTTAAAGGTTGTATAGAGGATTTTCCAAGGAACGAGAAATCCAGCGACTGTTTGTCCTTTTTCAAATGTTGCGCATGCGTGAAACCACCCCCCCTCCCCTACAGCTCCTACGTAGAAACGCCTCCTCCCGCCTCCTCCTTACGCCAGAAACAGGTTTGTTTACAGCCGGTGCTGCACATGACTTGTAAACAACTAACTACAGTGTTGGTTAGGCAAGACGGAGAAGTGAGGAGCGGGGGGAGCGGGTGTGCGGACATTTCGTGCGCGGATGAGAAGTGAGGAGCAGGGAGAAGAGTGGATCGGGCAGCGGGGACAGGAGCAGGAAAGGGGTGCAGAGAAGGGTGCGCGGAGATTCCGTGCGAATGAACTAGCTACAACACGCAGCAGCAAGCGGACTCTTTCTTTGCCTTGAAAATTACGTTTTCAGACATAGGATATCGCTTTCGTGTCCTGAAAAACGTTTGTCTAGCTCTTGGAAATAAAGTACGTTTTCATAATAAGCAGAAGTGACCTGTCCAGGAGTAATTTGGCGACCAGTGCGTCAGTTTTTAGACCCTGCGTCTGCTTCAGTCGCGCCATCGCTGGAATGAATCTTCAAGAATCACCTTAGTTTGGCTTCGCTGCTTTTCCCCTTGTCTTCTTCTTTCAGCAATCTCAAAAACGGACTTTCTTTTGTGGCGAACTGCTCCTGGATTCTTGTCGCCATTGCAACAAACTTTGTGCGAACTGCGAGGAAGATATAGGTCAAAAAAAGCCGCTAAGAACTGTTGCGTTGGTGGAGTAAACAGCGTCTGTGCGTCTTGCGTCTGTGGACTGCGTGACAGGCGTACGTAAACCACGTACCGGCGGCGCGCAGGCAAGTCAGTTACGCTAGAAACGTAGGGAGATTGATTGATAGCCTGTCAGCTAACAGATAACGAGGCAGTGTCGTTATCTATTGGCAAATGTTTAGCCCCACCACGTCCAGAGTTGATGAATTTTTATTCTCTTTTTTTTGGTCATCATAATTACAAGGCGACTGCACCTCTATAATGCTATCATTGACAACTTGAAACAAAAAAAAAAAAAAAAATCCTCCATACAACCTTTAAATAGTGCATAGTGGCGCGCTCAAGGGGGGACATGTGAGCGTGGTCTCGACCATTGTGGTCTATTTGGGGTATTATTTTGGGTTTTTACGTTATTTAATGGAATTTAAGTTAACCTTATGAGGGGTTCTTTAAGTTATTTTTATTATGTTTATTTCCAAGTTGATTTGTGTATGTTAATTCCTTTAAAACCCCATTTTTGGTTAATTGGTTAGCCCAGGGGGAGGGGCTAAGGGGTATAAAAGGAGGAAGCTCCAGTCATTTGGGAGTCTGTTTTTCGGCCTGACTACGTAGGTGCTGGCGTCCGTAAGTGTGACTATTGTAAATATTGTTGTAAATACTTTTTTTTTTTGTTGGACTCTACCACCTCATTTGTCCACTGTAAATATTCCACTCTGCACTTTGGGCTGTGGTGTGAATAAAAACCCACTTAAAGGTTGTATAGAAGATTTTCCAAGGAAATAGAAATGCAGCGACTGTTTTCAAATGTCGCGCTTCGCTCCTCTTCCCCTTCTCTTCTTTTTTCAGCGACGTCAAAAACAGACTTTCTTTTGGGGCGAACTGGTCGTGATTTCTTGTCTGCCATTGCAACAAACTCTGTGCAAACTGAGAGGAAAATACAGTTCCAAAAAGATGCTAAGAACCTCTGTGTTGGTTGAGTAAACAGCGTGCGCCGGCAACTCAGTGAAGCTAGAAACGTATGGAGTTTGATTGACAACCCAACAGCCAATAGATAAAGAGGTAGCCTTGTTATCTATTGGCTGATGTTTATCTGCCCCCACCACGTCCACGATTGACAGACTTTCATTCTTTTACTTTTGATGATCATAATTACAAGGCTGACGCATCTCTATGATTCTATTTTGAACTTTCATCGACAATTTGAAACAAAAACAAAAAAAAATCCTCCATACAACCTTTAAATGAAGTTTTTCGAGTGAGCCATCATTTTTTCTACATTTATTTCGGACGAACCCGTGACAGTCGATATAGGAAACTTATGATTCTAGTGAAGTTGTATGGAGTTTAAAAACACAGTGGAGCACTTCCTGTACTACCACATGGCATCACAAGATGGAACAGAGAAAGACTCAGCCTAAACATACGGGTTTTTGTGCGTTAAAGGCGTGTGAATGAAACAAAACACAACTCCAGGTACGTGTGTGATGAGGGAACAACATTATAACACGGATCAGAAAATAGTGTAATATAGACACTTTAAAAAGCCGTAAGTCGTACCATTACTAGAAGCAATCTCCAAATTTTCCACTTTCTTGTTCTCATCGGGAACTGCTTCACTGGGCTCAGATGGGTGCAAACGAGCTTCGGCTTCTGCATCTGAAGGGATGTCATCTGGAGTTCAAGAAAACCATAACATTTTATTACTCACTGCTGGCACTGTTGGCAACTTTCTTTTTCCTTGGTGTTTTGCTGTGACAGTATGACAGAGTTCAGACTTTGAGAATGTAAAAGACTTTAAAGGGGCGGTATTACTCTGTTGTCTGATCTGTTATAATGTTGTTTCCTCATCAAAAACAGACCTGGAGTTGTGTTTTGTTTCGCTCACACATGTTTAACACACAAACCCTGCATATTTAGGCTGAGTTCTTCTCTCAAATAGAAAAGACTCTGTTCCACCTTGTGATGTCATGTGGTAAAACAGGCGCCACTGTGTTTTTAAACGCCATACAACTTCACTAGAATCATTTGGATCGCTTCATCCCTGGAATTGCCAATTTCTACTGAACTAAAAGGTTAAAAGTTAGCCTGATTCATTGGACAGTTTCACTTCGTAGAAACCGTCTGACGTCGCAGCATTAGAATTCGTTCGCTCGACAGTAGGCGGGTACTTTTTTTATTTAACCAATCGCTGCTGTTTGGTCGTGATGTATGTAATGTGCCACTAACAGGGCTGACTGGTATATTAAGCTTTTCCCAAATCCCGTAGGAAGAAGGGCAATAACGTATTTCCCCTTGATAAAATTCACCAAACATTCTCTTTGTTCCGGCTTTAAATCCTCGATCTCGGGAATTGTTGCCAACACAGAATGTTTGGGCCTTCGCTGATCGGCTGGTGCCCGAACTCGCACTTCCAGGGTTTTTGCGAACCATCTAGTGTATTCCGATTCCTGACCTTGTCGCTGGAGAGAAAACTACCACTACATGACATCACAAGGTGGAACAGAGCATTTTTTGAGCATGTGTGAATGAAACAAAACACAACTCCAGATGTTTTTGAGGAGGTTACAACATTATAACATGACTTAAAAGTGCATAGTGTAACTTTTCATGTGGAAAGCATTACGGTCAGATGCTTCTCTCCATGGAGATGTTATTGCATTCAGTCACAAGAGTTTTTAGGGCTTAAAAACACAAGCAGGGTCACCTCATCACAGATCTGACATGTAACTTGGCTTGGTGTGGTGTCACTTTTTGCCTCCACGGAGATAGAGACGTTTAATGCAATACTGTGGAGCCTTCTGGACAAAGCAACGACATCTCCACGGAGACGAGGAGGTAATCCCACCATGGAGACGTTATTGCTTTGTCTGGACTGTTCCACAGTATGGCATTAAACCTTTTTTTTTTATCTTCATGGAAACCAAACCAGACCAAGTTACAGGTCAGATCTGTGGAGAGACGACCCTGCTCAGTCAGAATTTGTGTTTTTCTTGTTTTTTTGAGCTATAAAACCACCTATAATTGAATAAATGTAAGGTAGAGCTGTTTAACATCATACTGTGGAACATTCCAGGCAGACCAGGCAGAGCGATGACATCTCCATAGAAACAACCAAGTGACGGACCTCCAACCAAAAAGTTACACAGTGAACAGTCAGTTTTGCGTAATATAGGACCTTTAAAATTTAGAGTCTGTAGTGGACACACACCCTGATCCATCTCCGTACCAGGCTCCATATCCGGACTTTCTGCCACCGCTTCCAGCTCGTCATCCTCACAAGGTTCTGAAAGGACAATAAACAGCAAAGTGTGAGTCAGACGTATCCCTGGGCAAGCCTTAAGAACAAATACTCAAAACATTCTACCCCAACTCCACAGGAACAGTCCCTAGCCGATCCCTCTCAAGACTACATCAAACAGATTCTAAACACTGCACTTACTGACATATGGAGCTTTTAAAAGTCACAGAATACACAAAATTGACTCTTCTGAGCTTTAAGCCATGTTATAATGTTGTTACCTCCTCAGAAACAGACCTGGAGTTGTGTTTTGTTTCATCTACATATGTTTAAGTAATTATTTATTATTAGTTAGGGATGTAACGATATCCAAATGTCATGATACTCGATATTTATTGCGATATTTGAAGAGATATTTGAAGATATTTGAAGGATTGGACACTTTTTTGCTTTTAAAATACCTTGACAAGATTTTGGTGTGAATTATTTCCATTATAATCCCAAGAATTCAAGTCAAAAACATATCTCTTCATGTTGTCTGCGCTGAAATGAATCATGGGATATGTAGTTCTCAATGTTCATAAGCCGTTGCTTCTATAAAAACATGCATTTAAGCAAAGAAAATTGTAATTTGATATATTGTGACAGCCCACGAGACTTGACGAAAGTGAAGTGAAACTTTTGACGATACAATATCACGATACAATACACAATACACACCCCGGCTTCCACCTCTTCAACCTGTTGCCTTCTTGCAGACACTTCAGGTCCATACCAGCCTGAACAAATAGACAAATAATAGCTTCTTTCCCAAAGCTGTCACCACATGAAACTCAACTTTACGCTGAGAATTTCCTTTTTAGGGTGTTTTTTTGGCACTTTGAAGGAGCAGCTCTGCATCTTATTGTACTGTGTATAATGACAATAAAGGCTTTCTATTCTGTTCTATTCTATATTTTGGTTATTGTTACATTCCTATTATTAGTGTGTTTACATCTCTAAAGCTCAAAATGCTCAGTTCCACCTTGTGATGTCATGTAGTGGTAGTGGTTAGGGGTGTGCAAAATTATTGATATATCGATATATCGTATCGTTTAAAGTGATGATGCAGTATCAATATCATGGGCTGCTGTATCAATACATCGAGTATTTTTTGGTATATTTTACAAAATTATTTTGTTATACCGCGACAGTTTTGTTGCTTGTTTAGTGGAAGGAAACTCGTTTATGTGACAGATTTGATATTTTCACAGTTTTGATGTTTAAAATGTTTGTGTTTTATATAGAAACATATTGTATCGTCAAAGTTCTCACAATAACATCGTGGATCATCGCAATATATCAAAGTCTAATTCTAATTAAGAGTTATGGTGCAGCAATAGCTAAAAAAAGACAGAGGGAACTACACAGACCATGATCCTTTGCTCCATTTCAGTGCAGACTACAAGAAGAAATAAGTCTTGTCAAGGCATTTTAAGAGGAAAAAGTTGCATATTAACAGTTTTAGCTGTTTAGCCTCCACAAAATATCGCAATAAATATTGTACCATGAGACTTGGATATCGCTAAACCCGTAGTTTTATATGAACTTTGCACAAGAAGTGGTTTAACAAAGACTTATAGTATCACAGCCAAGATTTAGCCTTTATTTTCTATTGAACCGTATCGAATCGATTTGAAATATATCGTACTGAATCGTATCGAATTGCAAGCTCACTATATCGAGATATGTATTGTATCGTGGTCATGTATTGAGGTACTTATGTATCATATCTGCAACTTTTGAATGATCCCCAGCCCTAGTAGCGGTAGTTTTTAAGTTAACAGCTGCCGTTTGCCTTTAGTTCAGCAGAGATTGACAATTCCAGGGCTGAAATTATCCAAATAAATATCTAAATATCTAAATCTGCAGGGTTTGTGTGTTAAACATGTGTGAATGAAACAAAACACAACTCCAGGTTTGTTTGTGATGAGGAAATAGTAAAACATCTATCAGAAAATAAAGTAATAATGTCCCTTTAAGAACAATTTGCTAAAAATACAAACAGAACTTCAGTATTTTCACCAAATGTCTGCCAACACACTCGGTAACGGTGTAGTTTGGCCATAGCATTACAGTGAGCCACATGCAGTGATCCATTTGTAAGTGAAATGGATAACAGTGTAATCAGGCAAGAGAAACTTTAAATATGTTAATCAAGAAAACCTGGAATAGAAATATGAGATTAGCACAGTAGTAGTGGTGCCAACTGTGCCATTAGTGCCTCTGCTTAAACAGCCCCACCAGGATCACACGTTCTGAAGTGTGATATACGACTACAGGAAATACTGAATAACGTTTAAAAAAGGTCTAAAAATTAAAGTCTAATTAAGCAGGATAAGTGGGCTCGCTTCTCCGCAAATCTGACCTGTCTGACCTGCTCGTCTCCATGGAGATGTTCAAGTTAAATGCTGTTAAATACTGTTCCAGGGACAGCAATTACTCTGAGAACAGCAGGCTGCCCAAACTCCGTCCAAAAAGTTGCGTAATGCAGTTTTAATCTTATATTTTCTGAACAGTTTGAAGTTTATATTAAAAAAAATAAAATATCGTGACAGGACCCATATTACGCCGTTTTCTGATCTATGTTTACAGTGTTGATTCGTCATCACAAACAGACCTGGAGTTGTGTTTTGTTTCATTCACACTTGTTTAATACACAAATCCTGGATATTTACGCCGATTTCTTCTCTCAAACAGAAAACACTCTGTTCCACCTTGTGATGTTGTGGTGGATACCTCTGCCACCACTCCACAGTGTTAGTACTATTTAATTTAATTTAATTTAATTTACAGTAAGTTAATTACAGCACATCATCAAGGCTGAATAAAGGGCAGAGCACTGATTAGTTCGTTTTACTAAAATTGTTTGTCTAGTTTGTTTTAAGGTCACTTTATTATCTCTTATTATTTTCTGTATTATACTCATTTGCCTTCAGTGTCGGGGAGTAACAGATTACATGTACCGGAGTTACGTAATCAGAGTACAAATTATGAGTAACTGTATTCAGTTACAGTTACTGTTTCAGTGAGTGGTAATTGGATTATAGTTACTTTGTTGAAATAAATGGATTACACGGCGGGATTTTCCTGTTTTCACATTTGGGGCTATATCTCTTTTTTTCTCAGTAATTCCACTCATTGCCGGACACTAAACCAGGTCTAAACCAGGACTAAACCAGGTCTAAACCAGGTCTAAACCAGGTCTAAACCAGGTCTAAACCAGGTCTAAACCAGGTCTAAACCAGGACTAAACCAGGTCTAAACCAGGACTAAACCAGGTCTAAACCAGGACTAAACCAGGTCTAAACCAGGTCTAAACCAGGTCTAAACCAGGACTAAACCAGGTCTAAACCAGGTCTAAACCAGGTCTAAACCAGGACTAAACCAGGTCTAAACCAGGTCTAAACCAGGTCTAAACCAGGACTAAACCAGGTATAAACCAGGTCTAAAACCAGGACTAAACCAGGTCTAAACCAGGTCTAAACCAGGACTAAACCAGGTCTAAACCAGGTCTAAACCAGGACTAAACCAGGTCTAAAACTAAACCAGGTCTAAACCAGGACTAAACCAGGTCTAAACCACTAAACCAGGTCTAAACCAGGTCTAAACCAGGTCTAAACCAGGATCTAAACCAGGTCTAAACCAGGTCTAAACCAAGTCTAAAACAGGATTTAACCAGGACTAAACCAAGTCTAAACCAGGTCTAAACCAGGTATAAACCAGGACTAAACCAGGTCTAAACCAGGTCTAAAACAGGTATAAACCAGGTCTAAAACAGGATTTAACAGGACTAAATCATGCTGCATGGACGTGTCTCCTCCTCTTCTATCAATAATATTTTAATACAGTTAAGTAAAGACTGGACTTTTCTTTTTTTTTTTTTTAGCAGACAAAACTTCTTATGTGAAGATTTCCTCGTCTTTGTTTCTCTACAGCAAATCAAGTAATCCAAAGTATTCAGATTACGTTACTCACCTGAAGTAATTTAATGGATTCTGTTACAAACTACATTTTGGTGTATGTAATCTGTAATCTGTAGGGGAATACATTTTAAAAGTCACCTTCCCAACACTGTTTGGCTTCTTGTTACTTTGATGAGTTAGTAGTTTTAGTTAATTATTTAGTGTAATTCCCCCCTGTGATGTTCAGTTTTAGTTGGCCTTCATATATTTAATCTCCCCTGTTCTTTGTCTGGTCGGGTTAGTTTTATTCTGTTCAGTTTGATTTAAATTACCCCAGATGATTTTATTTATTTTTTTTGCTAATTTGAGTTTTTGTTAAATTACATCTTTTTTTTTTTTACTTTATCAAATTTTAACTTATTTTTAACCCTTGTCTCAGCCTTTCTGTTTGATCCACGACAGACGTCATGGAAAAGAAGTGCTCCATCGAGGTTTTAAACTTCATACACCTTCACTAGAATCACTGGAATAATTTCAACCCTGGGATTGCCAATCTCCACCGAATAAAAGCTAAAATTTATCCTGAATTTCTTCTTTTGCCATGGATCTAACTGGACGACTGAGGGATTTTACACGTAGCTCCTGACTTAAACAACACCTACGTGACATCACAAGGTGGAGCACATCATTCTGAGCTTTGGAGATGCAGACGGACGTAATGAAGAATTGCTCAAACGTGCGTGAATGAAACAAAACACAACTCCAGGTCTATTTTGAGGAGGTCACAACATTCTAAGAAGAAGATTAAAGCACTAGGGTCTGTTTTGTGTAATATGGGTCCTTTAATACGTGAGCGTCTCTAAACTCCGTGTGGGTGCACATCCCAAAAACACTTGTGAAAAGCTCTGCCAGGCTTTTAACCCTGAATTCAAACACACTTAAAACAGCTCTCGTTCCACTCATTCACTATTCTTGGTGAAAAGACTTTAATGGAACCCAAAGAGCCATTTGCAGCCCTGTGCAAGTGCCTTTGAGTGGTTAGTGCAAAAGTAGAACTGGCAAATAAGTGACTAGCTGCGAAGAATGTAATTAAAGCATCGC